TGAATAGGTTTATTCTCGGGAGAATCGATCTCTGCACAAAGTTGGAGGTGTTAGATTCCACCGAACTTGCTGTGGTGCGAGTTGCGCATATACGAACTTGCACTTGAACTTGCGGTTCTGAGTCAGTCCCATCCGTCATTGTCCTCTCGTACACCGCGATACCGTCAGCAACCAGATTACAGAAATAAACGCCGACGACGCCCACGAGTGGTGCCCAGGCTGGCGACGGATGATACCATTTCCGTCAAGTGGTTCCGTCAAGTGCCAGTACTTGAAGGCTGGCGCGTTCCTCGCCGAGGATCATCGAGGAAAAGTGTAGCATGTGTTAGGTTTTGAATATGGTGGGCGCCGCGACAACGCACGGGCGTCTGGTAAGCAATGCACACGTCAGCTCTTGTAGTTCTCCATTGGAGGACGAGTAGGGCCACTTACAGCCATGTATCCGCGAAATACCAACTGACGACAGATGCTTAGTTAATCCATGCCACGGCGTTCCTTTCAATTTCTCGCCTCTTCGGTCTAACGCATCAACTCAGTCCTGCGTGAGCTGGGCTTTGGACATGGCCACTCCCGTCCTTGGAGATGGTGGCGGTGACCCAGCGCGAAGGAGCCCATATGAGGACCTACACCACGCAGCAGGTGCTGATAGGTGGGATTGCTGTATATTGTATTACCTATCTATAGTTCCTATAGATAACGACTCAACGCTTAGAGAAGGAGGAAGAACTAATTCCCACCTGAGTTAGGTAGGAAGGGGCTCTTACAACTTCCCCCCTATACTATCACGTAAAGTAAGTATAAGGTAGGGTAGTGTAGACTTAAGTTCGCCCGGTAGCCTTGTGCTCTTAGCCTTGTACTCTCAGCCTTATGTACAATGCCTATTTATCCTTTGTATACTTATCCGGTCCTGCCTACATTTCTCTCCCGAGTCAGATGGGGAGTGTATGGCTCCTTGGGCGATTGCCTGTGACAGCCTGCTTGCGCCTCTTTTTCTTCTTCCTACTCTCCTCGTGGAGTAGTGTAGTCTCGTCATCTCCACTAGGCTGTCGGCCTCGCGGAGGAGATTGCTACTCGCCAGAGTATGCGAGATTCAGCCACGAGGTATTCGGTTTCAGAGGCGAACGAAACAGTCTTGGAGTCTGTCACCCAAGAGAAGTGAGTACCGTCAACTCGTGGCGACAAAGTAAGGGAACTTTCCCAGTGCGACTTCCGTCTGGAGCGTCGCAGCCTTTTGACCAGACTCATAAGGGTTTTCAGAACGGAGAAAAAGCCCTTCTGCTGGAGAGTGAAGTCTTCCTCGTGCTCGTCATTGTCATCGCCAGGCTCCTCGATGGCCTGGTGCACTTCTTCTTCCGATAGCTGCGCCTCTTCTTCTTCATCATCAGCGGCCGGTTGCTTCTCGATATCGTCGACCACTGGCTGCTACTAAATCTCCTCAACTGCAAGATCATGCTCCTTCGCGGCGACTAGCGCGCGTCTTGCTAGTCCCTCCACTGGTTCGTCCGTATTTTCATGTACTTCAAGAAACTAGGGTACATCCAATGTACTGTTGTAAAAATAGCTTGTCTGTGTTCCAGTTTGCACATCCCTCATGAAGCTCAATGGCCTCGGTGAGGTTCTCGTCGACCGTGTCATGTCGGTTCCCAGACAGCTTTCTGATAAGCTCAAGAACAATTCTTTTAGCTTTGCAGCGCCCGATGCAACTGAGCAGTCTATCGGAGTCTAGCTCGACGTACATCTCCTTTCCCAGTTTTTTTTGTACTTGATAGTAAGCAATCTCGGCTGTTCGGGGTGTGGGTAAAACATGAGGTATGACAAGAAGGGCGAATAGGTATCGACGATTTACAGCCTGCTCGTGTAAATGGAAATTGTGCGAGTGGTCTTGTCGAAACCGTGCGATATCCATTCATATACAATCCTTTCGCGAAAGACAAATCCGTTGCACCTGCTCCTGTACTGGTGGCCAGGGAGCTGATCACCATTACAGTCGTCCTGCAGGATCCGCTTGAAGTGGGCATCATAATCGAGGAGATCAGCTTGCTGAGCGAAAGATGTGATTTTACTCCCTCACGCCACAGGTTCGCACCACACGGCGATTTCCTGACAAGCACAAAGCATTGCGGGTGCGTGGGTATCAATGATAATTCTTTCGTCGAATCTTGTGTGAGCCTTGGGTAGTTGGTTTTTGTCGATCTTCCCGGCCGCAGGGGATGTTGATGATGGTCGCCCTCGGCCTCGAAAAATAATGACCGGGATGGCTGTCGTGGTTCAAGAGTGTTTCGGGAGAATGCATACCCCGCGCTCAGACTTGGTGATGTTGTGATCTTGTGCCATATTGCATTGTTAGCCAGCGATACAAATTCTCGAATGTAGTAGTCACGCAACAGAATCCATTTTTGCCAGTACTTGGCAGCGACCATGGCCAGGGAACACTGATCAGTTTCAGTATGCTCCGAATTTCCCTGAACTAGTGACCCGCTCTGCCAATATGTCCCAATAGCGCAGCGAAGGTAAACAAAATGAGCAGCAAGACAGTAATAGTAACGAAGGACAAGAACGAGCGTGGCATCAAGGGCAACCTAAGCGAGAGTGCAGAGTGCCTGTAAAGAGTAGTGAAGGTCAGTATGCACACCAGCCAGACGTGGCAGTTGGTTTGGAATTCTGTCTCTCTGGTGAAACCAATGAGGTTTGAAGGCATAGGGAGTTGTAATTCCTACAGGTTGGCTCTGCAAATTACAGGCTCTGTAAATTACTTATTTAATGTCTTGAGTCTCGAGCCTTGTGGGTGACAATGGTGGCAGATATGGACTCGCACTCGGTCCTTGGTACGAGATCCCTGAACTCAACCGCCGTGGTGCTCTTCGAAGTCCTTCAATGTATAATATGCTTGTGCGTCCATATGAGCGATCAACGACACCAACACTGGTCCTCACGGCTTCCGACTCTCTCCGACAACGCCCCTTGACACTTGAAGACGACGAGCTACCGTCTCAAGCAACCGTTGCATTTGCTCGGAGCAGCAGCGGGGCTCGTGTGTATCGATGTCCACCGACTACGGAACGGCCATCAAGAAGATAGAAGTCTTCTTCTTAATAGTCAAGCAAGAGGAGAATTCTAGCGACCAGAGCCTTGACTTCAACGCATGTTCAACATGGAGACATAGGTGATTGAGGTGGCGACGCTGAGTTTTATGTATCCGAACGAAACCACCAGCGGCGCCCCGATTCCCAACCTGTACTGCACGGGCGAACTCTCTGGAATCTGTAAGTGCTTTTGGTGGGATAGATAAAATCTCAAGCCTGATACGTGGGTTATCAGTTTTTCGGGTCAATGGCTGATCATCTTTCTCTTTTCTGCTAGTCTACAACGAATAGCCGGGCGCGGTGGTGAGGTTATCGACAGCATGCTGATCAGCTGGTGTCCGCCGTCCCTATGGACAGAGGGTGGTAGCTGACAGTTGAATCCTCGATCAGACGCTGTCAACCTCGTGTCGGAAGTTGTTCACACAGCCTACCTCGGGGTAACATCGGAACGGTTATAAACGGCTGGCGCTAATTGCAACGTCCGGTACAGGGCTCCACCGCGCCCCATTCGCTCATCAGCCACGACGAGGCGAAGCCTCGCTTCACTCACCAGCCACATCGGAGCCATTCCATTCCATGTCGACATTTCCAGAAGTCCTCGACACGTGAGAAATAAGTAACAAGACAAGAAATCATGCTCACACACAGCAGTAGACAGCAGCGACAGTGCTAGCTTTGCTCGCTCATGCTCTCGCACGTCCGCCGGCCGTTCTATTGTGTGCCACCCATTGATGACATCAAGATAGGGGATGCGCTCCACAGGACATAAAAGCTGGTGAGATGATTCGGCCGCTGATGGACACACCTCGTTTCTGTCGCAGCGACCCAGGGAGATTCAGGGGTGCTGGTCTGCTACAGGTTCAGAGCGCCGGAACCAGAACCAATTTTTTGAACGCGCTGGCTAGGCGTTTTCCCCATGCTGCAGCGAAGATCTGCCGAGAGGAGATCTGAAAACGGCCAATTAGTGGTCCCCACAAATTTTTGGGGGGCTTTTGATTGGCCGATCACTATCCGCCGAGCGTCATCAGTCAACGGTTTTTGCCTTGGCGGGAGGCCTCACTGATCATCCAATCAGAGACTCAATGGCCGTCTCACGTGTACAGACGCGCTCGTGCGCCACCATCAGCCACAGAGACCACCTGGCCTGTCGGGTCGACCTGGATTATCTACACACCGTGTGATGGGTGGGCGTCATGAAGGTGGGAGCCGTAAAATCTGAAAAACAGAAGTAATGGAGTAAATTACCTAGTATGAAGAAACAAAAGAAATGACCCCATCAACGACATGATCAATGCCAGCGCCTTGCGATCCCAAGACTAGCGAACGCCATATCGCGGCCGTGATAAAGGAAGCAGAACTTGCTCATGCTCACCACAGCACATGACCGCGCCCGCGTCTGTTGCCGTTTCCTGATTACATATGATTCCCTTCCCCTCCTTTCTCCCATCAAATGTCGCCATTGTACTAGCGTCCCTACTAATTACCTCAACCTGTCTAGGCGCTTACGGACCTGGTCAGACACCTAAAATCAAGAGTCCTCTCTCAACTAAAGGAAAAACTGGAAATCACCGTTCCTGCCAGCAGGATGTCATGGCGAAAGGGTAAGGGGGTAAGGAAGGCAGAGCAAGGGCCGTTGAAATGGATGTCGTCGCTGGAAGGGTGGCTGTCCTTTGGAGGGCCCCGGGGGCTGGGGGGGGGGGGGGGGGCTGGTAGTTAAGGCGATGTTGGAATGAGCCTGGGGGGCAACATTGTTCCCATCGCCCTCAGCGTCGATCTTGCGGCGATGAATGTAGTGTCCTGTGTCACGGACCTGGTCCGTTGGCACGTTGATCACGTTTTACTTGAGATATTGTTCACGCAATAGAACCTCAACCCTTTTAGATAGTCCTTCGTACTGCAATTTGATCACTTCATTGCCTATTGAGGCTGTTCGCATGGATCAGATCTGCGATCGTGATATCTTATGTGCAGATGACTGTCGAGACCTGGCTGTGGAAGCGTAGACATGGAAGGAAGCTTCACCGAGCCCTGATCGTAGGGCGAAAACTGCTCTTTGTCATCCTGCTCTTCCACGAAACCGTTGTTGCCGTCAGGCCAGGAGTGTGCATTGGTATCGGGGTTCCCGGCACTCCAAGGACGCCCATCGACGTTAGGGGTCCTGTCAGAGTCGGAAGAACCTCCTGGAGTGTCGGGAGAGTCCTCGGTAGGCTCCTCATTGGCATCTGCTCGTTTTCGCAGCCGCCGGCTTTTTTCCGTGGGTTTTTTCCCTGCGTGTACTCTTTAGTTTCCATTCAAGCTAATTTCAGTTCTTCGTCGGAAAGGCGCATCTAGTGTGGGACTACTTACAGCAGTTGCGTCCAGCAAGGCGGGTTTGTATCTTTCTGCGTGTTGCGCGGTGCCTGACCAGGGTCCAATTCTCGTTCTCTTGGGCGTGTTTAAGGGACGACCTCGGGCGCCTCCAGTTGGACATGACGGACACATGGCCTAGTGTCAGTTTCCTGAACGTCTTTGCTAGCCCTCCATCATTCTCCTTAGCTCGGCCTTTGACTTGGGTCAGCCTGGTACGAGTCTGCCCAGGACCAGATCGCTTGGTACAGCGCGAGGGCGGGTGGTCAGCGTCTGCATCGTAGGGATCATGAGCTGATCGCAGGGGAAACTCTGGACGGGCGAACGCCATGGTGGAAAGGATGGCAGACGTACTACCCTCAACAAAGTCCAATTGAGTTCGCAAGGCTTGGGGAGAACCCAAGAGAGGGTGTGTATGATGGTGAGAATCTTACTTGTGGATAGGAGGGGCGTGTGGTACTTATTTTCTGGGAGGGCGGCCAGCCTCTTTGACTTGCGGGTCCGTCGGGGCTCTCCTGATGCCGAGCCACCTATCACGACAACGCGAAACAGGCAGCGAGCAGGTGGAACACGGTCTCGGTGACGCAATGTCTAGGCCTTGGCATGGGTCCGGTTTCGGGTTATAGAAAGACGATCTCAACCCGTTCTAGGAATTAAAAGTATACTACAGTGGGCGAATGCCCCTCGACCCCGCACACAGCACACTTGTCCTGCTACTTCGGGTGTCGCAGCTTCATGCACTTCGCACCCCATTTGAAGCCCGACAGAGGCTTCGATCCAACTCGCGACGGGCTTGACACGCACGAAAACCCCGTTTACAGCCTCACAACTCGGGCGTCAAAAAAAAAAAAAAAGATTTTTCCCGAATGTCCGGCCATTCACCATTGGCTATGTACACCGCTTTTTCTTCCTTGCTTTTGATTTTGTCATTTCTTGCTCCCTTACTCCCCCCTCCGATTGGTAGATTACTCCCGGAAAGCCCCTCTTATGCTTCACTGCATGTTTGTCCGGTGACCATTTGTGAGAAGAGGTCGTTTCTGGTCCTCTCCACGTGTCTCACACTGGTTTCCTTTTTGCCTCTTTTGCTTTGTTAAAGAGTAAGTCCGTCATGTAATTATCCGAGATCCTTACCGATGTGTACTAGCTCGGCCTGTAACGCACGACTCCTTTCAAAGTGTAGCTTTTCTCTGTCGCCAACGTCCGAGATGTATTAGTTGCCCCACCTCTTGAGGACTGTAGGCTGCATGCACCGGCAGTGCAGGCGGGTCGGGCTCGGGGCTCCCTACATCCAATGACTTGAGCAACGGCCATACCGCCTCGACCGCCCGCACCCTCGACTTTGTCCTCGAGGTCGAGAACTGTCCAGCTTGGGTGATTGACCAACACACTTCTATCACCGAGATGGAGAAATGCCGGTCTGGGCGAAGGTACGACGCGACATCTGCCAGGTTGCTGTTCGGATTTGAGTGGGTAAAAAAGAATCCCTCGTGACCGAGACTAAAAGAGCGGCTAACACATGGAGTTGCATCACAGGCAAGACGGTCATTCATGACGAGCATTGGCTGTATCCTTCGGCCTTTTGATTAACCGTCATCAAATGACGATGTCACACTTTTTACAGCCTCTGAGAACAAAGGTGTGTCCCAAACCGATGGTACCTGGTAATGGAAAGACCCTTCATGCATATCTTAGCTTGGCAGGGACTCTTGTAACTTTCCAACTGTACTCTTACGTAGAGTAAGCATCAGGTGGGGTAGTATAGACTCGCGTTCGCCCGACAGCCTTGTTCTTTCAGCCTTGTGTGTAATGCCTGTTCATCCTTTGCACCCTTATCCGGTCTTGCCAACACTTCTCTCCTGAATTGGGTGGGGAGTGTATGGATTTGTCTGCGACACATGGGCTTCCACGCTGCGTGACCGTGTGTGCGCTTTTCTTTTCAGAATTCGAAGGCACATTGTTCTCCTCTTTGAGTGGACCATCCGCAGGAAGCAGGACGCAGAAAAGGACAAAACCTCTTCCAAAGGCTCGACACCCGGCACAAGTACACCACAAATCAGGGTGCCCCGGAATGCCAAATATGCTGTCGCCGCAATCTGAACTATCCCAGCTAACATTTTCAAAGATAGCACGGGACACTTCTCTTGTACTCCGTCATCTCGATCAGCTCCCGATGATTCAACCCGAGGAAAGAGAAGGAATAGAGAGAAAAGAGTACGGGGACGATGAGTTTGGGCTGTTGTCCATTTCTTCCGATTCATCGTCTGTGGCGACGTGCTCAACTCGCTCACCGCAAACAGGCTCATCGTAAGAGAGCCTGTCTCGTCGACCGCAAGCATATTTGCGCAGCACCGCGAGTGCATCGGCGACCCCCGGCGAGCTTGAAGGGCCTGCTGTGCCCTCGGATAGTCTAGACGAGTTGTGAGACTGAAAATTGCCCGGGGTTGACGACTTCCAATATTTAAAAGTCTTGGAGACGACACCGCAATTATCACATGAACTCCGACACGGAAGAGTCTAAGTAGTAATAGCGCGCGCAACTCGGTGTAGAAGAGTCCTTGGATACTCAGCCTCGTGTGGGGTAGTCAGCCTTGTGCGGGGTATCCAACACTCAACACTCAACACTCAACACTCAACACTCAACACTCAACACTCAACACTCAACACTCAACACTCAACACTCAACACTCAACACTGCCAAGGCCGTGACATTATAATGCCCTTCATGTTCCCTATTCCATATCCATCCGTGCGTATCTCTCTGCCCTCCCTACTCTGCTTTCGCTTATCTGTTCCAACGCTGCTTCTTCCACAGCCAACAGAAAGCGACTGCGCCTGTACTGTCATCTACTGTCCTACTACGATCGAAGCCGAAGTGCATTGTCTTGTTCCACCCTCTCAGGCCTGCGAATTCGTGGTGCGGTGATGGCGAAAGGTTGATCTTTGAGGCCGTCGGCAGGTCGGTCTACAAGAGAAGGACTTGGGAAACAACCAGGCTGCTACTACCAAGGAGGCTGACTATCGATGCTTGGCTCGGTCTACATACGCAGGAGCAGGGAAGACAAAGGAGACGAGCTTCATCTCACACCATATTACGAGGCTCTGTGTGTGGCATGTCGATTCGTGTGCCATGCATGTTCCATCTTCGTCCGTCGCTCCGTCCGTCCGTCCGTCTGTCTGTCTGTGTGTCCACCTTTCCACACTCCCTTCCGCTTCCACGTTCGCAGAACGTTTCTACCGTGGCTTCTCCCGCAGGAAACCATCAGACCTCGCCTATCCTGCCACGATCGAATCAAAACGGCGCGTTATCATATTATTCCTGACGACTGCCCATACAAAAAGACTGGCTCCGATGTCGATACCGCCCACGGGGTCGGTCTACAAGAGTAGGGACAAGAGCAGGAAAACAAAGTCGCGCACGATCCGTGACTACCAGCGAGATATTCTTTCGTTGGCATGCCGGTCCACATCTCCTGTTTCGATTCCACGTTCATCTGTCTGTCTTTCAACCTCCGTCCCCCGCTATTACATCTGCATTCGCAGAGATCTCTAGCATAGCCAGGCTTCCGCGCGGAAAGCGAAGCAACTGACCTCCTGTTCTGTCACGATCGAAGCGCTCTCCCCTCCTCCGCTCAGACGCAAAGCGAGATTAGTCGCGTGATGATGACGAAAGCCTGATGCGACTGACGCCGTGGCCGGTCGGTTTACACTACACGGAAGAGATGCAGGCTTCTCACCCGGAATCCGCGATATGAACTACTTCCAGGACGATTACGGGTTGAAAGCCATCGATGGTGGGGATGAGGGTCACGATGAAGACCCCAAAGACTAAGATGAGGATGAAGACTCAGACGACCTTGGTGGGAGAGAGGCTCACGAGATCAAAATAAGACCCACGGTCTTCATATCACGTTGTCGAGGGCATACTGATCTTGTTCCATATTCAATTTTCCATGTCCGCCTGTCTACCTCTCCACTCTTGCCTCCGCTGTCACCGATATTGCTGGGCTTCCTCACCGAACAGCGAGCGATGCCTGTCCTGCTCTGTCCTGTTTAGTCCTTCCTCACTACGATCGAAGTGCATTAACCTTCTTCTACTCAGGCCTGGCGGTTGGCAGTGCGAATGGGCTGATTGATCGATTCAATGGTCGGTCAGCCAGTCTACAAGAGTCGGAGCAAGACCAGGAGGAAGGAAACGGACTGGGTATCTTTACCTCCCAGCAAAGCCAACACGCTGCCATTTAGCGATCACGACAAAGAGCTACTCATGTGTATTCAGTTCCATCGATGAAGCGGGCGAGGGTCAGGATCAGCTATCGGTGAAAGGAGACGGCGAAGACGGTACTGGTAAAGCAACGGCGAGTGCCGAAACTGCTCGTGCTCGGCTTCTCGGTACAAACAGTCCAGCGCCGTATCGGATTCGAACTTTGCCTACCGATCTCGTCCATCGCACAGACAAAGAACCCTTTTCCGATTTAATATCTCGATGCGCTACGCCATCATGAGATACACATGTGTAATGTCTGCCGCAACACCATAATCGGCTTCAATCTCGTCGAAAAGGTCAGATTGTCGCCGGTGGACGGGTCTGACGGCCTAGAAATACCCGCTGAAGACGCCGAGAATAGCAGTTTCAGGATTGACGACGGTAAAGGCCTTTCAGCTAATCAATCTGGCTTGGAAAATTTGTCAGGACGAGTGAATCGCGGGAATGAATGGGAGCGGCGTGCCCTGCTCAAGAGGGACGAGAAGACACGACAATAGATGTCGTCGGTGCCCAGGCATTGTTTGTCTCAAAGGGTGGCTTCATGAAGAACCTCCTCGTTTCTTGGTTGCCGCCGATCACCTTGACGAGGCTCAGGATTTCATGGTGAAATCCCATGTAAATGGACACGCGGCGTACCCTCTTGTCAACCTCGAGCTCGACGGCGTTTGACACAACCTGCATCATGTTCCATTGGCGTCTGAAGAACGGCCTCCAGGGTCTCAGGGCTCCTGTACCGCTGGATGCAGCACTAGAGTACCTTGCATGCAGGCCGGAGCGTGTGCTCGGGGTACAACGTGGCAGAAACGAAAGTCGACTGGCGCACACCATGGCTAACCCTGAACTACGAAACCGCAAACATGGCACCGCCGGTTCGATGTCCATGGCCCTCCCTGAGCCCCTAGTCGACGAGAAGACTGCCGAACTAATTGAAGAGTTGAAGAGGGAAAACAATTATGAAGGGCAAATAGAGACAGAAAAGCGGATGTATCTTGTCAAGCTATTGAGCAAGGTCTGGATCTTGGTGGCAGGATTCCTCTACTGTTTCAACTTTGAGGGCGCTCCAGTGAATTTCAATCTAGAGTTCCCCAAACAACGCGTTCCAATCAATTACTTCGTACTACCTGTTACCCACTGGGTGCCTGTACATAATTTCACGCCGCATCTACTAACCAAACCGATGAAGGCTTCCAGGGAAAGCTGATCGACTCGTTCGCGGTCAACTAGGGGGAACATCGATTCGTGCCGTTCGTTGTCTTGATCAGAGTTCAAACTCCTCAATCTTTGTGTAGTTACTGGTCAACATCCTACGTCCTGCGCCCGCCCGCCACCGACCCCATCGACACGTACTATGCAGCTTGTGCTCTGCAGTTGCAAAGGAAAAGTTTAAACCACCTTCTTCTCCGGTTCGCAATTTCTACAGGGGCGTTTTCGAGAGCACACCGAACCCCCTCCATTGATGACGCAACTACCCCGCTTTCCAGGTGAGCAACACCGAAGGGCTGCGTGGTTCGTTGCATGCTATAACCATCGAGCGCACAAACACCCTCGCGGTCTACGGCAGCGGCAACCTTTATTAATCGTCGCCGGCGCATTCGGGATTTTAAAGAGGTTGATGCGCTCAAAGGCAATGGCGTCCTGGCAGTCTTCGCTCTTACGCAAGGTCCTGGAAGATGAGTCGTGGTGGCAAGAACTTTTCATTTATCGTCGATTTTGGTCAGAATCCTTCCGCTGCCGACGGTCCAGATGGCAAGTCACGGATTAGAAGATGAAGCGTTGAGTCATGGCCTTCACTCGCTTCTACTATGGAATTGCGAGGCTCTCGATGTCCATGTCTGTTTGTCTCCCTGTGTGCCTTTCTGCTCTCTCTCCCCTTTTACGTTCGTACATTTTTCTAATACAGCCAGGCTACCTCACTGAAAAGCGACTGAACCTTATCCCGCCCTGTCCTGCCACGATCGAAGCGATCCGAATTGTCTTGTTCTACCCCGCAGTTAGAACCGGGAACTAGCACTGTACGAGTGCCGAAAAGACTTATTGATGGTCAATATCATGGGTTGTAGGTCTACAAACGGAGGAGGAGCAGGAGGAAGAGGACGTCTTTGTCAATGACCCGATTGTCGAGACGTTGAACATTCCACCTACATCTGTGCAGGCAAACCTGATTCTCGACCGCACTCATGCATATCACCAGATCGGGACGCATGACCTGATGAAAACCTCTTGAGAGGATATCGTCGTCCTGAGGCATTTCATTGTCATGAATGTCGACCACCTCCGTGCCAACAAACCCACCTCGGCATGGGCCGTCGAAGTTCGTGTGCCGTTCGTCGTCCATCATCTGGGTTGCTATTGCTTCGGCCACTTGATTTTTGGACGAACACAGGAAGATTCGTTCCAAGGGGGCTTCAAGGCCTAGCTTCTGACGAGCCCCCGACCTGCCACCACCACACCAGCCGCCCACGGACCTGGGGAGCAACCAGACACCTCTCCGCAAGGGCTATTTGTCTTGGACACGTCCACGGCCAACTCCTACCTAAATTCCTCAGTCGACGGCACCCAAGAACCGCAAAGCATGTGGACAGCCGCGCGAACAACACGTGTTGTCAAGACCGCGGTTGTGATTACACCCGACTGGCATACCGGTCATCTTTGGATTGTCCAACTCATGAGAAGAGAAACTTGCCGGAGGACGGTAAGTGTTAGGAACGGCCTATGTAGATAGGCAGAGGGCAGCGATAGGTAACAGGTAGGTATAGTTATTCCTTGATAGTATATTTTAACCAAGACTCAAAGCATGAGGGAAGGGAAGCTTCCTTTAGGCGGTGAGCATGCGGTGCTTACATAATTGTGGGTTGTCACGTGCGTGGTGTGCCTGGCGGTTCGTGACAGTAAGATTGTCGAGTCCGGCACACATGACACTCTGATCAAGCAGAACGGAAGAGAAGCCAGTCAAAGAGTCGGCGGGACGCCAATGCTCCTAGTGATACAGGCGGCCCCGAAGTGTCCAACGACTTCACAACTTTGGGGTACCCGCTGGGTCTGATGTTCAGTGTACCGGATGAGCAGTTCGTTGGCGAGGGCGTCCATCCATTCATCAATACTTTGACACTCGATATCTGCGAGGTCCCCTACCAAAGACACGTAGCATCAGGGCGGTTCGGTCATTACTTGTGACAGTGAGTCATGACTCCCTTGTCCCTTCTTTTCTCCTCAAAAGTGCCCCCCGTTCAAATTCGTGAAAAACCATTCTTGTATGTCTGACTATTTGTCTATACATCTAGAGGCCGTAGGCGATGCAGCTGTGCAAGAAATTGTTTGTGTTTTCCTGACCGAGACTGGTCGTCGCTCCACCAAATGCTCCTACCGCAGCAAGAGCAAGCGCGGTGGTCGCTCGGGCTGTGTGCCGCAAACCTCGCCTGTGCGAAGGGCGAGGTGGGCGCGCCCACCGTGGTGGACATCCAGGAGGACGCCGACGCCATTGATGCCGAGCTCCGGCTCGTGGAGGCCGCTAGGATTCTTAAAGCCATCCAGTTTTCGAGAAAGTACCAGTCTGATGAATTTATCACCGTCGGAGGGTGGTAGTGTCATTGACACGGTCAAAATGATGATACGCTCCACTCAAACTAGCCATCTCCAGAAACCATGATTCTCACCATGGACAATACTGCCTGCGAAGCCAGACTTGCGGATGCATGGCAACCCCAGGGCCCCGAGATCGTGGCCCGAGAATATGGAACCATAGGGCAAGTAAGACAACACCTACTACCCCGAGGCAGAGCTTCTCGACTTCATCAACCCACCTCTCGGCCGTGGACTCCCAATGGCTTTCAAGCTTCTGCTGCTCATCGCGTACCGACAACGGCAGGGATATGACTGAAAAACGAATAGCACACAGTGGGATGGCCAAGTCATGTTTGTTCTTGCTTCCGGTGAAAGTTGAACTCGCCAGATTATCTAGAGCAGTCGACCCTCCCATATCAATCAGCTAGCCGGTACACATAGCGAACATGTGCGAGAAGGCAGCAGTGGAGAGGTAGGATCCCACCTCGTTTGATGACTTCTTTGATCGATTTCATTCGAGAACAGGAGTGCTGTGCTGGGCTTGTTGAAGATCAAGACGGCCAAGAACCGTACAAATCTTTTCGACTACAGCCGCTACGTGGGCTCGGATACCGTGTATGAAGCAAGAAGGCGAAACTGGGGGGTTTCACCTCGGTAGTCTGTATCATGGCGCAGCCGTGGACAGGATAGATCGCTTTCAAGGGTGCAATTATGACATGAATTCTGATACGAAGAGGTCTAACTAGAGTAAGTACATCGGCGTGAGAGATACAGCACCCTAGCAAAAATATCCGTCCACCCCACCATTTTTCCACCTACTAGATTTTCAGCCACCACCACTTGTTTCTTTAATTACTTCAACCACGTACGCTTAATCTCTCTGTAACTACTGTTA